CCAGGACTGTAGTAAGTATCCTTTTCCTCTGCCTGCACCCCTCCCCCACCTCTCCCCCTTCCGTAGCTGGGGACGTGTGATCAGGCATTCACACAAGGGGGCCAGATCAAGTCCTCCTGCAGTAACAATAGGGTGGCATTAAGGGAGCAGAATGCAAGGTGTATCTTGGGGGAAGCCCCCTGCCAGGGGAGGGTCCATAAGACTGTGGTACAGCCTACTTAGCAGAGGGGTGGCAGTGCCATTGCTAGATCCATGCAGAACATCTGGAAATTCTTTGTCAGGTTTTGGCCTGGATGGTCCCATTAGAAAGGCCCCTGCCTGAAAGAGGGGCACTTGGCCACGTCTGGGCTCCCCAGATCTGTTTAAAAAAAACAAAAAAACCCAAAAAAAAACAAACAAACTCTACTGTGAGGGAGAGGGTGCAGGCTAGCTCAAGTTCCAGGCAGTGGTTTCCTGCTGCCCTGCTGCCTGGAACTTGAGCTAGCCCATCTCCTTTGTGTCTTAGTGCCCCATCTTCCTAAGGCATCCTGCAGCCAGGATTGTTGGGATGTTGTCAGTTGAGCCCATCAGCATACTGGTTGCATGGATTCCCTGCAGGGGACCAAGAACTTCATCCAGTTTTAAGGGCTCAAACCTATTTCCATACCTGTGTAAAGCCTGTGTTACTCCATTGACTTTCCTGAGGTTATCCCCCACCCCGAGATTGACACCACTAACAATGGGAGGGCAATCAGGCCTTACATATATTCATGCAACTTTCTAAAACAGTTGTTAGTGACCTTTTTAGGCTGTGGGCCGGAGTGACCCCATTCAGGTCAGTGGCAGGTAGATGAGTGGTTACTAGGATCCAGCCTCTGCTGCTGTTGAAGGCCCCCAGGGAAAGCTGAATGCTGGGGAAGCCCCCCCTTCCACCCCCATCAAATGGCTCTGCAGGCTGGATCAGGCTTGCAGGCCCTAGGTTACTTACCCTTGTTCTAAACTAGCTGTGAGACACCCAGGCTGTGCTAGCTCTTAGGGCAGCACAGGTATAGCACCCTGTAGGCATCTCCTTTCCGCCCAATACCAGCAGAAGTAATTGGTATGATCCCCTCTGAACGAAGATTTTCCCTCCCGCAAGGCTGAGAGTCCTGGGCTG